AGACACGTCCCCAGGCCCCTCCTGTCCCCACATCTACGACTTTCCCACCCCATGACTGAGCTCCCAGCAGGAGCAGCCACGTCCCAGGCAGGACAGGCCCGGGGGTGTCACGGTGGGATTTCAGAGCTCACCAAACCCAACCCAGCCTGGGCTTGGGGGGGCAGAACAAAGTCCCCACAGGACACGAGGGGCTTGGATCCCCAAATCCCAGGTGAAAACAGGCAGGGCAGGGACACGAGCTGCTGTGTCACCCACGGAGGGGACACGGGGGGTGCTCTGTGTCCCCAGCCACCCTTCGAGGCCGAATTCTCCGAGGTCATTGTCTGCAAGAATGAGCTCCACGAGACACTCAACAACCTGTCCCACTGGGTGAAGGAGGAGCCTGTGGAGAAGAACCTGGTGAGGAGGAAGAGGAGGAAGAGGGTGGTGTGGGGAGGGGAGGGAAGGACCCACCTCCTGGGGCAGAGCCGGGCGGGATGTGGGGCTGGAGATGGTGGTGCAGGTTGGACCTGAGGTGGTGGGTGTCCTGCAGGTGGCCAAGCTGGACTCGGCCTTCATCCGCAGGGACCCCTACGGGGTGGTGCTCATCATTGCTCCCTGGAACTACCCCATCAGCCTCCTCCTGGCGCCCCTCATCGGGGCCATCGCTGCAGGTGAGCCAGGACCTTCCCTGGCTGGGGGATCTGGGCAGGGCCAGGGCACCTTGTGCCCGGGTGTGGGTACCAGGAGAGCTGGCTGTCACCGTGTCACTGACACTGACATCCCGTCTCCCCCCCCTGCCCCAGGTAACTGTGCTGTCCTCAAACCCTCCGAGGTGACCAAGAACACTGAGAGGCTCGTGGCTGAAGCTCTGCCCACGTACTTGGACAAGGTGAGATGGTGTCACGGTTGGGGTGTTCCCACACCGAGCTGGGTCCTGTCACTGTCCCTGCCTTGGCCACACCAGCACCACACATTGCCTGGTCATGGGTTCCTCCTTCCCCCATGCTCAGGAAACTGTGGGTGGGGACAAAGGGCAGGTTGTGACACCAGGGAACCCTTCCTCCTTCCTTGCAGGACTGCTTTGCCGTGGTGACCGGCGGCGTGCAGGAGACCACCAGGCTGCTGGAGAACAAGTTTGACTACATCTTCTTCACTGGTGTGTGCTGAGGGCTGAGCCCTGCCTGGGTCCTTGTCCCCAGGGGAATGGGGGGTTCCCACCGGGGCTCACCCTGCCCATCAGCGTGAAGGACAGGGCTCCCAGTGTCGAGGGTGTGGAGTGGGGATCTCTTGGGGGATCTGCCACCAGGGTGTCTGGATGCCTGATGGCCACAAGGAGGTTTTGTAATGGCTGAGCTAGGAAGTGGTGGGGCCTGGGGAAGGTGCTGGAGGTGAGGCCTCCAGCCCGTGCTGCAGAGCAAGAGGCAGGACAGGAGTGGCCCGGACGCCTTCCCCGGCTGCTGGCGAGGCTGGGGCAGGGGCTGGGCTGCAGCCTGGGGGGCTCCTGGTGGTGACAGATCTTCCCCGGCTCCTCAGGCAGCCCCGGGGTGGGCAGGATCATCATGACGGCCGCCGCCAAGCACCTGACCCCGGTGACCCTGGAGCTGGGGGGCAAGAACCCCTGCTACGTGTCCGACAGCTGCCAGGTGCAGAACGTGGCCCGGCGGGGGGCCTGGGGACGCTTCTTCAAC